CATTTATAATAGAAGTCTGCTAATGAAACGGATATTATATTCTTATATATTTTATCTATCTCCAAAGTAAAATCTTTGCTTAAAAAATTATCTTTCGAGTAATACTTTTTCTATTATAGAAATCTATAATTTTGTTTCAAAATAATTGTTTTCGTGTTATTAAATAATTGAGGTAAATATATTTAAGTTATACAACCAAGAGATCATTGTGCCATAATTTTAGTGAAGCGGTACTCGCAAGGAAGGAGGTAATTATATAGAGGCGCGGTGAGCTAACGGTGGCTTTGTCTCGCTCAAACGTTAAGTGTTGCTAATCTACATGCGATGAACTGTTCATGTTTTGTTTGAGGATTACTGTTAAATGCTACGGATGTACATAAATTTGTTGCGATATGCTATGTTTGAGAAGCTTTGTCATATAACGGAGTTTAGCAAAGGTGAAATCTTGGATACTTTGTTTTAATTGGCCTTCTGAAGATGGAAAGGGGGTTAGAATTATAAATGCGAAAATTATTGTATGTATGTATGTATGTTGAAATGGATGGACGGATTTGGATGAAATTTACGTCAGGTAGACTATAACTGGAGTAACTAAAAGTCTTAGGCACATAGAAGTAGTATAGATAATAATAGATATAGTACTTAAATGTGATATTTCAATCTGTTTTACTTTCGTTTCCGCTCTTATTTAATTCATGTAAACATTAAACCTGCGGTTTTTAAAATAGCAGTCTATGGCGTCCTATTCTACTTATATTTGTATCAAAATTTTTTCTCACATATTTCCTTAAGTAACTAAATTTTTATCTAGGTTTAGACCTCATAGTGAAAAGACGTTATACTATCACTAAGTAATATTACTCTACTAGTTTGCTATGCATGAACAAAAATGTTTGGTTAAAAGATCTATATAAAAGCAACACATAATATTTCACAGGCTCATAATAAAGAATAATATAGCGACAGAGTTTCATAGAAATAAACTTAAAGCCAAAAATAGTTTTAAAATAATATATTATAATGTTTATATAACTGTACAAAAGAAACAGAACAGAAAACTGCGTTAAAATCCGTTAGTTTAAAAGATCTAAGCGAACACACAGCGGAAGCGACTTCATTTTTAACCCCCGACGCAAAAAGAGGGGTGTTATAAGTTTGACGTCGATGTCTGCCTGTGTGTTTGTGTGTCTCTGTCTGTGGCATCGTAGCTCTTAAACGGATTGACTGATTTCGATGTAGTTTTTTTCATTTGAAGCCTGTTTCCTTGCGGTGGTTCTTAGCTATGTTTCTTTAATATCAGTCCCGCAATGTAAGAGTATCAGCTCTTTTCCAAAATGATGTAAGGCGTTTTGGCGTATGATTACTCGATTAAGTGCTTCACGCGTGCCAGTGTTATCGTTAAATGATAATTAATTTGCATAGCGGGTTTTTTAAATTTTTAATTTGTAATGTTTTTATACTATGTAAAGATTATTGACGATTAAAAATTGTATGAACAGAAATCACGCTACTATTTGTGACTTTTTAACAATTTTTTGGCGATCTCTGTCTATATATTTCTTTGGTCTGAGTTCATAGGTTAATGATCTTTCCAAATATACGGCTCTTATCGTTAGACATTTTAATCAATCGCCGAGTTTCATTCGCATCCCTTGTTTACGCGCTGGTTTCGTCCGTCGTCGCATCCGGTCATCTCGCATTTACATATTTAGTTTTATAAACAAAAGCGAAAGTGACGGTGTGTACAGTATAATATGATGATAGCGATGACTTTTTTCTTACATACATACATACATATGTATTATGTATATATGTATTATGTATGTATGTATGTATGTATGTATGTACGTATGTGTATATGTTTGTATAAAATACGATATGTATAGCCATACAGATACATAACTGTGTGTAGAAACTTACAAAGAATAACATTATAACTCACAAATTAGTTTGTTATATCTAACTATAAAGAGTGTATTATTATAAAATATGTTTATTGTGTATTATTATAAAATTAAAATGTATTATTATAAAGAGAAAATGTCAAAGATTTGTTTTGTTCGTTTGTTTGTATCGGATAGCCTCAAAACTACTGAATCGATTTAGATGAAATTAAGTAAGAAGATATTTTGAGACCCTGGGAAGGACGTTTTTATCCCGGAAATCATCCCTTAAGGGGGTAAAAATGGGGGTGAAAGTTTTTATGGGGAAGCAATCTAGGGACGAATCGAACGTTAGTCGCTAGTATAGACTAAATTCAAAACTGTTGAAATACTGATTTACAATTTTGTGGCTTGTCTATACATAATATAATAATGCTAGTCTGTATGTATATACTACTGATAATTCATATTGTAGTCAGATTCTATTATGTAGTTATAGTATTACTTACTTTAGTAAGTATCTTACATACTAGCGATTTATTCTCGTTTCGCTTGGGTGCGTTCCTAGGTACCTTGTGTATTTATAATATTATATAGATGTAACGCTACCTTTTGGCAAACTTAAGTAATAAATATATACTACTCCAGGTACGTGTGATATATCTTGCCCCCAACCTGCGTTCACCTTGTATTGGTAGGGGGCTGATTAGTGTCCGGCAATCCAGCCGGGCGCGAAGTCAAGAAACGCCGTGGAAAAATGTATGATCTGTCTTTATATTAAATTTCAACCAAATATTACTTTCAAAGTGATTATAAACATTCTTATAAGGAGAAGGAATATTATGGTCAGATAGCATTACTGTGATGAGTTCTATAAATAGACACAAGAATTCTCGTTTTGGTACTGATGTTGTCAATCAGCGATTTAGGTCATTTCGTAAACTTCCCGCACTACACTCGAAGTGACGACGTGTTTGCCAAACATCCGCGTGGGTTTCGATAACGACATGCTTGCGAGACCCAGGCATTGATCACCTTTTTACATACATATTTCATAAGTCTATACGTGTTTGCTTTAGGGCTTTAATTGTTTAAAGCTATGTGGGCGTATGTATGTTTTAAATAATTTTAAGTGTACAGAGATGAGGTAAATAGTAAATACCTATTTATTATTAATCAAACGTTTTGTCTGTATTGCAAGGTAAAATGAACTGATCATTGATATTACATGAACAATCTGGACACTGTGATGATATGAACATATTATGTCGAATTCGCATTGATTTCGAGAGTCTCAGGTTCGATTTTCAGATGATCGTAATCTTTGTTGGATGACGCAGTAGACTTCAACAATATTTACTGCGTCATTGTTTTGCCTAGTTCTTTAGGGAAAGCGTGGGAGATATATACCGATGATTAGATCAGATGACGGTTTATATATTTTTTTCCCGTATATATGTTTCCGTATTTCCCGTATGTATGTTAATACGTGAATAGCGAAAATTGTCCTATGTTTCATAAGTTTTTTTTTACACTTGGGCCCCAAAACGGTCTGTTTCGTGAAACGTGGTTCTGTAAAACGTTCTCCTTCTTTTCTCCATACATGTACTCGTCTATTGTCACTAAAACATGCTTTAGTTTTATCTGTCAAGAGTCCAGTCACAGTCCTCCAGTTATCTGTAATTGTCTGATAAAAATTTTCACGTGCAAATGTTAAGCGGGCTGCACGATGACTCCTAGTTAGTTTCAACCGATTAACACGCATTATAGACCATTTACCATCTTCATGGAGTCATGGATGAAGTCGGACGGTTTGATCACTAGCACTTGTATCATTAGATTGTCGTAGTTGGTTTTGTAAAGTTCGCGCGGTCACAGTACGATCTCGACGCGCATTTAACCTGATGTACCGGTCTTTCTGGGATGTTGTGACACACGTTCTTATCCCCGTCTTCTAGTTACGCTACCTGCTTCCTGGTAACGTTCCCAAAGATTTCGAATAGCTCTTTGTGACACACGGAAAAATATCGCTACAGCCTACAGATCTCTGAAATTCTCCCTCTTGAAGCAAAATTACCGTTTTAGTCGCTATTTCCATATCCATATGACGGCGATATCACCATCATATATCATCAGAACTAATATTGAAATTAATCAAAATAGTTATACGCAAAAACGATCTTTGCAAAAGTTTCCAACAAGCGCAGGAAAATAAGTGTAATTAAAAACATTAAAGGGGTCACTTTTAACATTCAATTAGGACTCATAAATTAAAATGTCCCATTTTAACTTACAGTAAACAACTTAGCAGTTAATTATAAACAATTTTTTAGGTTATATCGAGGTGGGCCCCTTTTTTGTTTAGATTAAATTGTCGATGAGGCCATATTTTATATCAATATGTCAAACAAATGTATCAGACACTGAGCTGTTCTCAATTATGTTTATGGCTTATGGGAATGAGACCGGCCAGTATTGTTTTCATAATACGCTTTTCTTCTAACAAGTTGTATACGTTAATGTAAAAACAAAGTATGGATGACAGTATTAATAACTATAATGTCGGCTGACATTGCCCACGGCTCCACCCGCGTTCAGATGACCAAAAACCAAATTCTTAGAGTTTACATATTAGTATACTCGTACATTGCAGCTTTTGTATTTTTTCTCAGAAATGAGACATTTTCCCGCGGTAAAAAGTATTGTATATGTTGACCCGGATAACCAGCTATCACTATACTAAATTTCATCAAAATCGCTCCAGTGGGTGTTCTGTGATGCGGTAACAAACAGACAGACAGACAAAAATTCTAAAAACTATAGATTCGGCCTCTGTATCGATAATAATGTTTATTTCAATAAGATTTTCCAAAAAATATTTAATGTACAGATTTGGCTTAGTTACAATTTTATTATATGTATAGATGTAAGACGAGACTGCAGTTGACGTATTGCTTTAATGTTGGTGTCATTTGATTATTAACTTATGCATTATTGTTTGGGTTATGTCTAATCGAGAGTTACGGTAATTTGATATGAATAAGACCAGACGGACGGATGGCACGAACCATATGATGAGTACCTAGAAAAATTGTACAGTGCTTCCAGTTGCGTTTAATGTTTGACCGACTTCAAAAAGACAAGGTGCTATTCGAGTGTATGTTTTTTGTTATATTACGCAATGTCTGACAATCTAAGCATTAGACTGAACTGATATTTTTATATGAATAATGCGTTTACCAACGAACAGTCCTATATTTTTATTTACATGTATACTAATACTAGCGACTTAACCTCGCTTCGCTCGTGTGCGTCCTTCCCTTACCAGATCCGTATCTTACGACTACGATTTAAATATAAATATGTAGTTACTGCGACTTACATTATGAGATAGATTAATACTTGATATTGCAGACATTTCTGTAGGTATTTCTAAGATCTACAATTTTCTAATAGGTTCGTTGTTTTGATGTATCTCTTAAGGTTTAGCCAATGTAGACAGACAAACAGACATACAAAACAGAGGAAAAATTTAATAACTATTGTTTTGGGGTCTATATTCTGTAATATGTACATAATAGCCATAGCCATTGATTTAAAAAAAATTATGTGCAGATTTAGCTAAGTTACTATTTTATTATATGTATAGACTAGTAGAAGCCGCGGCCTCGCTCGCGCTAAAACTGCAAAAAAATCTCTAAAAAGGTAGGTTACATACAATCTTTCATCTCCTATTATACCCCCCTATGGGATGAATTTCGAAAAATGCTAAAACACGTATTTATTAAATTATATTGAAGAGAATTAATACCACGTTTCAAGTAATTCTGATCATAAACAATTGTTTGTCCATATAAACTTTATCACCCCCTTTTACCCTTTGAATAAAACCTAATAAATACTTATTTTTCATCTTAAAGCTAAATACCACTTTCCGTGTATGACGCGTTAAGAATTACAGAGTTTCATACAATTTTTTATCCCCTATTTTACCCCCTTAGGGGATAAATTTTAAAAAAAGCTTTCTTAGCGGATTATTATTGTCATTATATAAGGAACATGTCCTCCAAATTTCACGTTGCTACGACCAACGGTTCATGCAGTGCGTTGATCGATCAGTCAGTCAGTACAAAGCGTTTTATATGTATATAAATATAGATTATTGCTAATAGTACATGGAGGGTAATTATTTGTTTTATTTGTTAATAGATTATATTGTCGATAAGATAACAACTGTGAAGGGTCAAGGAAAAGTCAAATATATCGCTTAATCATGTAGATATGAACTTTTTCCGAAAATCAATATAGGTACTATTGTGTCTGATAACCTTCCAAAGGACAGTGGATTCGCGATAAGATTTACAGCGTCGCTAGATATAAACTAAGATACTGTCAGCTTTCACTTCATATAGTCTTGCATAATACTCGTAATCAATAAGTGTTTTAAGGAATAAATGCATACTTTGCAGAGCTGTGGTAGTGTAGTGTATTGTGTAGTGTGGTAGGTAGGTTCGATTTTAGCTGTTATTTTTTTACATCTACATATGTAACTTACCTGCTGTCAATTATCATTTATCATACACAAATTATTTAAATAAAATTTAAATATGTTTTTTTTTAATATTTAGTATATAATTATTACAGTTAGTTTAGTGAATATCTTAAATATTTGAATTATCACACGGCCTACACAACTTTCTAAACTTAATTTCGTTTCACAGTTCAGTTGCGAACGTTTTCAACATAAAGGCGCAAGTGACTGCGGTAAATATAGCACATTTACTTAATTGTCCATTCTTATTGTTTGCAGACTACCTCAGCAGACCAAAGATGCATAGACCAGTCAACCCACGTGTCAGGAGACGTCTGTTTGAAGCAGATGAAATAACTGATAAAGCGAAGATCGATAATGTTGCAAACATTATCAAAGAATCTCTCGATAGAGATAAAATCGAAAAATCTCAAAAATGGAACTTTGATTTTGAGAATGAAGTACCTTTAGAAGGACCATATGAATGGTACAAGAAGGACGGTAATGATTGGATTGGCATGAAGACGGAGAAAGAAAAAGAAGAATTCTCCATGAAGAAGATTAACGAAGCTACCCCGAAAACTAATACAGAAGTAAAATTAAATTTGAAGAAGCGGAGAAGAAATACTGAAAAGATAAATAATATTCCAAATAGAGAAGTAAGACGTAGAATTAGTTTTCAATAGCTAACTAAAGGTTAGATTCATTGGTTCCAATATTATCAAATTAATCAAGTCAAAGTAAAGAATCCAATGTCAAAATTAAAGTTTTTAACGAATCTTCATAAATCTTTGTAAAAAAATATTATAATTATAATTTAATAGATATTAAATGTTTTTATAACTACGTACACGTTCTGTTAAGACAGTTGCAAGTTGCAAATTACCGTTTCTTACTGTACTTTAATGTACAATTGTATGGAACTAATGGTTTTTTTTAAGTGCAATTATAAAGAGTTTGGAAGATTTACAATGTGCCACATTTGATATAATTATAGTTTGTAAAATTATTTAAAATGTTTAGATGTATTTACTTAGTCATTTTATTTCGGTATATTTTCGATCTGTGTATTTTCTAAAAGACTGTTTTATCCTTAAAATTTTAGTCGCATATTTATTTTTAGATTTTTTTAGACGTAATTTGTAAATATATGTGTTTTATAACCATTCCACTACTAACATCACAATTTTAATTTTAACTAATATAAATGTTTAATTCTAGATTGAATTTCATTACGGACCACTTATATACAATTTTTAATTTAAGATATTTAAATCAAGTAAGAGTGTAGATGTAAGTGGCACTACTTATACTGTAAAACACTAGTAAAATTTAAAAATACGCTAAAGCTCGAATGAATGTCATTTTAGTGTAAACAGTTACCTCAAGCGAGAATCGAACGTATACCCTCTGATCAGAGTTCATCGAAAGCATTAAGGTCTCGGCTTTAAATTTTAACTTACGCTGGTTTAGGATTCACTTATATATTATATATTATTGTATATAAATAGATGAAACACAAAATGCTTTAATTTAAATAATTAAAACAATAATAGATATATGTAAATTCATTATACCTATTTCTGTAGCTATTATGATTAATTACATTTAAATTTATTTTTAACCCCCGACGCAAAAAGAGGGGCGTTATAAGTTTGACGTCGATGTCTGTCTGTGTGTGTGTTTGTGGCATCGTAGCTCTCAAACGGATGGACCGATTTCGATGCGATTATTTTCATTTGAAAGCCAGTTTCCTTGTGGTGGTTCTTAGCTATGTTTGTTTAATATCGGTCCAGCAGTGTAAGAGTATCAGTTCTTTTCCAAAATGATGTAAAGCATATTGGCGTATGATTACTCGATTAAGTGCTTCACGCGTGCCGGTGTAATCGTTAAATGACAATTAATTTGCGTAGGGGTTTTTTTTTATTTTTAATTTATAATTATTTATATAAATTGTAAATGAAAATTGAAGAAATTAACAAAAAATGTCTGCAAAAATATACACAGTGCCATTCCACTCACATTAACATAGTATTAGCTCCAATTTTAGTTCTAAACCAAATAATTCAATTATCTACCAAATCCCATGTATGTATGTATTTCTAATACCATAGACATTGAAAACTATGGGTATCAAATGAGTATATTAGTTAAAGAACTAGACATAAAATTAAAAATTTACAAAAAAAACCCAACTATGTGTTGTCTTCTTTAATCTGGAAATTGTAAAATTCTAAAGATTTTGATCTCTTTAATATCATTTTAGTATTAATTTTTTCGCAAGGACGATTATGATCACCGATGTTTTTAAAATTGTAAGTCATTAAGTAGTGAGATTTAGTTAGTATTTGCTTGGAAATATTTTTATTTTTACAAATGCATATGAAGGGTTTTTTCATTGAATAATTGTGACTAATAACATTATTAGTATAGTGATGTAATACTTTTTACTCTTTTGCTTTAAATTAAAGTTTACTTTATGTACATTTATTATATTAGATTTCTCAGAGATGAGATATTTTCCCGCAGTAAAAAGTATCCTATATGTTGATCCGGATAACCAGCTATCACCATACCAAATTTCATGAAAATCCCTCCAGTGGTTTTTCTGTGATGTGGTAACAGATAGACAGACAGATAGACAAAAAATCTAAAAACAGTTGTAGTTTTGGCCTCTGTATCGATAATAATGACTATTTTAATAAGATTTTCCAAAAAATATTGAATGTATAGATTCGACTCAGTAAATTTTTTTTTATATGTATAGATTATTGCCTGTATTTTTAAATGAAAATCTTTAAACATATATATTTTCAGCTTTAACTAAGTATTAATTTACATATTATATACAAATTACATAACAAATTGTAAAGATATTAAAAAAATATTTAAACTACAGACGTAACCGCTTAGTTTAAAACAAAACATTACGTACCTGAATCAATCTCAAAATTCAAAATTTCCAAGCATTTACACAAAATGAAGTATAAAATTTTAGTGATAAATTGTTTAAAATTTAAATTTTAGTTGTTTTAAGTTTATATAAAAAGCTTTCATTAATTAACAAATTGCTTTTTAATCTACATATAATCGCTGTTTAACTGACTTTAATTTTTTTAACCAATAAATAAAATATTGAGCATTAGGTACTCTACAAAATGTTATTTGTTATCAGTTATTAGTCTATATTTATTATAATTTTTCTTTAAAAACATACATTTGTCTCGCACAGTATCAAAAAGTAACTTATAAATAGATCTACATTATATTTAAGTTTTTTTATTAAATCATCTTATCGCAGTCGAAGAAATCGCATATCGCGATTGTTGAATTGAGAACCTCCTTTCAGGGTTGCGTAGCTAAATGACTGATGCGGAAACCTTATTATATCCCGATATCTGTCTGTCCGTTTGAGCGGTTTGACCCTCTGTCCATATATCAGAACCATTTTACTCGAAGACTATTGAAGCTACATTGCTGTTTCGTAGGTAGGTGTCTCATGTAAACTGCTAGACAATTCCGTTGTTAAATTATAAAAAAAAATAAGGGTGGCACCCCCAACGTGTAACATTGATGAAAGAAGAATTAAATAGCCATTAGCGTGGGGTTTATCTATGGATAAGTCTTTTAAACTCAGATAGATGTTCTTTCAGCTTTAAATACTTCTCAAGTCTTAAACATTGTGTCGTTTTTTATTAAATTTATCGGGTCATGCTACGGAACCTTTGGTTTGCGAATCAGACTCGCACTTGTCCGATTTTTTAATATTAATAATAAAATAAAACATAAAAAATAAAATATGTTATAGGTAATTTCATAATAAATTACTAACATTTTTTTTGAAGTCGGTTAACAAAATATAATAACATACATTTGGCTATTTTATCGCTAATATGACATAACCTGTACATACGTTTGTACACACAGCTGCATCCAAAGTCAGTCCTCTAGTTGATAGTCATTTCTAATAGAAGTCTTTTTATCTTGTACTTATTCCCCCGATGGAGTAAAAATTTGGATTTTATTGACGATATTTTTAAATTGTATAGTGTCATAAATTAGTTTTAACCTAATATAATTATATTTATTTATTGTAATTGGTCTTTTAATTAAATTATTTGCTATGTAAGTGTTTGTTTTATTTATTGTGTTTATTTTTAAATTTACAAATAAAATATAAAAATATTTTTTTTTAAATATACTCCAACAGGATAGACCATGGAATTTTATGTATTTTTGCTGAACATTATTGAGTTCCAAAGAGAAGCCAGATCAGGTCACTAATAAATAATATAAGTAATATTAATATTTAAATAAATAATATAAGTATTTTCTTCCTTTATATAAATAAATATTTATGGCACAATCAATAACGTTTATTATGACTATCGATTACAAACCACCTGGGCGATAAACTGTTGCTAGGAAACTTAGTGCATACAAAGTTATCTAAAAGCTCGTGCAACCCGTATTTACAGACTAGTCGTTTGCCGCGGCTTTGTCCGCTGTTTTTGAACAACTAAATAGAGAAAATTATTTAATTGTGCTTTGACATGCATTGTTACTGGAGTATAAACTATATAGGATATTTATGTTCATGTTCGTATTCCTACCTTTCGACTTATATCCTATAACGCCCCTTTTGTTTGTTTCCCAGTGGGTTTTTGTGTCTCCTTCATTTTTTAATTTTATAACAGTTTTTATATTATAAAAATTTTTTTAATGATGTTTAATCGACTTTAAAAGAGTATGGTACTCAATTTGGGCGAAGATAGGCGTTTTAGGTGTAAGTATATTACACTTTATTAATTGTCAACTTTTGAATAAGATTTATTTCAAAAGTGCTGTCATATTTTCTACCTTTACAACACATTTTGTAGCTTGTGTGCTTTTGTGAATACAAATATACATATTTTCATTAAATGGCTTTACTTTTTTGTGTTGATGACACGTTTGGCTTACTTTGTAGTATGACTTGCTGTGCCAGCGGTCGCGGGTTCGAGGTCCGCTGGGGCATTTATTTGTGTAATGAGCACGAATGTTGCACCCCAGTCATGGTTGTTTATATTTATTATATGTATGTATTTCCCATCCCACCGCTGGGCACGAGCATCCCTTTAATACGAGGGGGATCAAGCCATAGTCCGCCACGCTGGCCAAGTGTGGATTGGCGGACTTTACATGTCTTTCGAAAACTTGCTAGGTTCTCTCAGACGTGCAGGTTTCTTCATGATGTTTCCCTTTACGGTAAGGCAAGTGGTAATCAATGGTAAATGTTAGAAATGATTCACACATTAAAATATCAGAGGTGCGAGGCCCGGCATTTGAACCCGCTTCACTCGGTTTCCCAAGCGAGCGCGTTACCACTGGACTACCACTGCCATTTTTCCCATAATAATAGTCTCAAGAAATTATAGTTTTTTTAAATCATAAAACTCCGTCTAAAATAGCCGAAAATATCGTGTAGATACAAAAAATAATATGCATAACTCAAAAACCGTTTTTTTTATTGAGAAATCCGTTAAAATTAGTTTGCGATGAAATAGTAAGGTATAAGTATAAAGTTTGGTAGACAACATTCTCTAGCAAGACATTTTATTACATAATATAAAAATATATGCAAGTAGGTCGAAACACTTTTTACAAGGGGAAGTTGACAATAACAAAATAATACTGATTATCA